GGGGATTTTACAGAAGCTGTTTTGGGAGCATGGCATGCACACCCCTCCACACACACACGAGAGTGGGTTGCTCTGTTTCCACCGTGTGGAGCTGAGTGTCATCTTGATGACGGCTGGGGAGTGAGCTTACTTACCTCTTCCATATCATGTTAGTCCAAACACAGTTTTCCCCCTCCTCAGTAAGGATGTGACCATCAATAGCTGTACATCTCCATCGGTTCTGTCCATGTCCGTCTCCACGTGCAACATTCTCCCTCCCTGGCAATGTGGCAAAGCCATTCATCTTACAAGGCACTGGGCAGATCGTCTGACATCACCCCAGACTCTGGGCAGAGTCCAGTCACAGCCGCCTCTGGCTTCTGCTGCACTTGCCGTGGTGTTGTGACTTTTATCATTTACTTGTCTCTCTTCTTTGGATTGTATACACTGCAGGGGCGAGGTTTGTATCTTAATTATCTTTATATCTTTAATACCTTGGACAGTCTGGAGCCAGCACAGAGTGGACATGTGAAGTGAGTTTGACCAGTGATGGCCACTCGGCTGGCAGCTGGCACTCAAACACAGCCTGCTTCGTGCTTGTACTTCACCAGTACTTGTTGAAAGGATGGGCTTTGAGACCAGATCTGGGATTTTTTTTTTTTTTTTTTTTTGGCTAGTGCAGAGTCCCTGTTTTTTATATATTTCTAAATGTCCTATAAACAAACAAGAAAGAGTATTATGGACTTGGTTGTGTCAACTCTAACGAGCAGTGAAGACAGTTGTACACTGAGCCCCGCTGGGAGTGAGGATGGTAGGTTCTCTCCTCAGACGTCTCGCCGTCAAGGCCTTCAGCATCTGTCAGAGTGCTCTGTCCTCTGACTGGAGCCAGGGGCTTCAGAAGAGGGGGCAGCAGGGCTTTCTCTAGGTGTGACCAGGTATACATCCCGTGGCGTTAAGGAGGAGGCCCTGCACAGCCTACGTCATCCCTGGGGCTCCAGTTATTCTGTTCTCTGTAAATATGGGGGCCCAGGGCTGCTGGGGAGACACTGGTTACTCTGGAGCCACCTGTCCTACAGCTCTGATTGCTAAGGCCCAGCCAAGAAGGTGGTGGAGGCATTAGTGAACTTTCCTATAAACCAGGGAGTGTTCCCTTCCCTGCTCACAGATCCGACTCTCTCCTCCCATCTCTTACTTTTCTATTCCCAGTTCCTGATGCATGCGAAGTACCCTCCAGGTCTGATGCTGCTTCCTTACTCTGATTATGCATAAAGGGTCGATAGTACAAGAGGGGTTGATACCTCCAACGTGATATGTGTCAGAATGTAGCCCGCACATCAGAATTACATTCCTCATCTGGTCTCACCCGTCCTAGGAGTATTCCCCTCTCCTCCCGTACCTGCACCAACCCCTGGGTGGTGCCCAGAGGGGAGAAGACTGAAGATGATGACAAACCTGACGTCTGGATGAGGCTAATGTGCGATGGAGATGGGCCTTGTGGTCAGGCTTCAGAAACAACCTCAGCCACATGTGTCTTAAGTAAAATATGTTGTGTTTGTCATTGGAACGTGATCACTCAGCAGTTTCCAGATTTGGTCAGCAGGTGCATTGGCCCAGGAGGAGAAAGTACCACGAAGGCACTCCCAGTAAACACCCGGGGTGACTGTCAGCCTCTCTGTCTCTAAGAACTAATTCAGCTTTTAAACACCAGAGCATTCAGACATCTGATTTGCATCCCCTTCCCTGGTAGCCGTGTCATAATTTAAAACCCTGCCAGTGGAGATGGATGGGTGGCCATGTCAGGGAGCACAGGGGTGGCTGTTAATGCTGTGAGTTACAGCCCGGTGGTGCCCTGTCAGAGTTAACTATGAGAGACCAGTGATAAATTCAGGTTTGCCAGGAGTTCTGGGGACAGGGGAGAGAAGAGGGTTGGTTTCTCATATTTGAAGTCCTTTTAAATCTTTGTGTTGACATTTTATTTAGACTTTGTGGGATCTGCATTCCTCACATTTTTTATTTTTGCATCCTGAGAGCAATTTTTGATGGAGGCATCTCTCAGCATGTGGTGGGGCATTTGAACACTGCAGGGCTGGAGCCTGTATAGTTGTGATTGTATACATTCACTCAAAATCTTTATTCAGGTTCAGGCTATAGGCAGGGTTTGGGTAGGTCTACTCAGTTATTTTTCAGATATAGAATCTATTGCAGAAAGATACGGTAGAACAAAGAATGGTTCTGGCTGGAATCCCTGCTTGGCTACTTACCAGTAACCTCAGTTTCTTCATCTGTGAAATAGGAATAATAGTTCTTTTTCTAATTGCCCAATGGAGTAACTATAGAAGTCTAGTAATATGTTGTTTGAGAGAATATTGAAATCTTGTAAGTTCTGCGTGTGTGTGTGTATTGCAGTTTTTGGCTGGGGCCAAGTTTGAACACGCCACCTCCTGTATGTGGGGCTGGCACCCTACTCCTTGAGCCACAGGCGCCACCCAAATCTTGAAAGTTCTTAATAAGAGTGTCAGTTACTGGGGAGAACTGAACTCTGCCAGAAAACCTTTGGAGTCCCAGTTCATTGCTTCACCTCTTTATTGAAATAAATGTTACCTTTTTTAAAAATTTGAGATGGGATCTCACTGTGTTGCCCAGGCTAGTTTTAAACTCCTGACCTCAAGCAATCCGCCCACCCCTGCCTTCCACAGTTCTGGGATTGCAGGCATGAGCTATGGTGCCTGACTAAAGTTAGTTTCTTAAAGCAGTGTATCCTGTGTATATATGCTTTGAAGAAAATCTCCAGCTAAGATGTGAAATGTGTTCATATTATCTTTTACATATTTGCTAGCACTGGGGAGAGATGAATCAAATAAAATATTATTTCAGGCTTGTCTACCCCTTATGACACTTCCTGTTTGATGTTTAGCCAAGGAATATTACTCTCCCAGACATAATTCAGCGATTATAGACTGTCCAGTCCCCTTCTATTTATGCTCCTGCATCTGACTCTGAATTCTTTATAGGGTATGTGAAAAACAGTACGTCTGGGACTTCTGAGTATCTAACAACCCCTAAATACCCCTAGGCAATTCTAAATTGAATGTTTAAAGTAAACACTATTTTTCAAAATTATACCTAATGAGTGTATATTTAAGTAGTGAGAACAAAACAGCAATGACATTAATAAAAACGTTTTGTATTCTCATGTTACAGACATTTACTGAAATTGTGGTTATAATATTCTTATCATTGCAATTACTTCGGAATTTCTTTCTGAAGTCTGGATTTCGGTAAACATATCATAAATTCTAACTGTAATCAGATTGTTCTCGTTAATGTTTACATTAAACATAATAGATGGAAAGTTGTCCTAAGACTGTGGTATGACTGAAGATCTGGATTCTGTTACTTCAGGACAAATCATTAATAGCTTGGACTATGTGTCTGCTGAGTGTGGGCTGACTCAATTAGAAATATCTATGAGGGACTCCAAATCTTCATCATTACTCCTGTGAGACTTTAGAGTCATAAAGATATGTGCTGGTATGTGTATATTATAAGAGTAGAATAAGTTATTAAAATACTAACGTGAAAAACATTTTTATACATCACAGGTACCATGCATCCTCTGTAAATTTCCCATAAAGCCGGGACTCATTGGCTCATTGCCCTGGGGTTCTTGATGCTTTTTATTGATGACCATTTCAATTATTCCCTCTCATTAAGTGCCAGACTAGTAGATGATGTTGTTAACATGCTTATCTTGAAAAAACAAAACATTTTGTAAATTTTTCTTCTCCTTTAGTTAGTAGTGGTTAAGATGAAATCTGATTCAGTTCATAGTAAAATAGAAAGAAAAATTAAAGACGTTTAAAATATAAAAATAGAAAAAGACACGTGAATATAGACTACGTCTCTGCAGCCATTCATCTCTGAAATGCAGTGTTTTCAAAATGGACACTCAAGAGGGAAATAGACTCTACAAACAAGTGACGAATTCCACGGGCAGATCTGAATTATGCTGTGAAATACACTTGTCTGCGTCCCAAAGTGTTCATTTAGAATGTAACTTTCAGACTTCTACTCCATAAGGAAAGTCTGCTTATATATAAAATCAATTTTTTCTAATTAGGAAGCCAGTACACATTCACTGTGAGCATTTCGAAAACCACTAAAAAGTATAAGGAAAATCCTTCCTTTTAATTTTTTTTTATAACTGGTGCCAATAAAATAATTCTTAATGTTACTACCTAGAGATAAAGTTGTTAACATTTTGGACTATTATATTTTATATATAATTGTGAGTCTTTTTTACTCCATGTAATGTAGTGAATATTTACCATATTTATTTGAGAAGAGCTTCTTAGTGTGTGATATCCGTGTTTCCCTGAAAATAAGACACTGTCTTATTTTTTCTCAAGAAGACACACTAGGGCTTATTTTCAGGGGATGTCTTATTTTTGTAAAGTATAATACAACAATCTACATTTATTCAAATACAGTTAAATCATCTTCTTCTGGAACCTGACTTTGTTGGTGGGGCTGATGCTAGTGATGCATGAACTCCTTTCCCTAGCTGTTCACACTGCGCAATAGGATGCCTGTGACCAAGGTAACCACATGCGTACCCACGCAAGTGTGAACGGCTTGGAGAAAGGAGCTGTGGCAGATAAAAGGTATTCCAGTCTTCCTTACCTCTCTGTGCTGAAAAAATGCATGGTGTGGCTATGCAGCATATCTGCATATCTGCATAGCCACACCCATCCCTAGGTCTTATTATGGGGTAGGGCTTATATTTAATAAATGCATAGAAATCCTGCTAGGGCTTATTTTTGGGGTAGGTCTTATTTTCGGGGAAACATGGCATTTTATTATAGGGATATACCATAATTTACTAAGTCATTGCTGTTTTTAGCTATTTATGTTGTGTCTAGTTTTTTTTCTTTGTTTTTGTTTGACAGGATCTTACTCTATCATCCAGGCTGGAGTGATCATAGCTGATTGTAGCTTTGAAATTCTAGGCTCAAGTGATCTTCTAAGCTCAGCTCCCGAGTAGCTAGGACTATCAGCAGGTGCTACCATGCCTAGCAAAATTTTTAATTTTT